TTAAACTCTACGGATCTCTCTCGTTCACATAAACGGATTCATACCTTCTTCCCCGGCGATGACCACGCCACCACCACCATCTCCGGCGACGATCTCAGCCTCGACCAAACCTGAAAATCAGGGGAAAAACAAATTTCAAAAATCCAAAACGAACTCTAATCTACGGATCTCTCTCGTTCACATACACGGTGTACTACCTTCTTCTCCGGCGATGATCACAGCAACACCACCGGCGACGTTCTCAGCTTCGACCAAACCTGAAAATCAGGAAAAAAAAAAAATCAAAAATCCAAAACAATTAAACTCTACGGATCTCTCTCGTTCACATAAACGGTTTACTACCTTCTTCTCCGGCGATGATCACAGCAACACCACCGTCGACGTTCTCAGCTTCGACCAAACCTGAAAATCAGGAAAAAAAAAAATTCAAAAATCGAAAACAATTAAACTCTACTCTACGGATCTCTCTCGTTCACATAAACGGATTCATACCTTCTTCCCCGGCGATGACCACGCCACCACCACCATCTCCGGCGACGTTCTCAGCTTCGACCAAACCTGAAAATCAGGAAAAAAAAAAATTCAAAAATCGAAAACAATTAAACTCTACTCTACGGATCCATAACAAACAAAACTCTACACGGTTTCCTTACCGTCTTCTCCGGCGACGAACTCACGAGATCCTCCTGTTTTGATGACAGCAAGCTCCATATCCGTATCGTTCTTCGATCTATGTGAAAAAAAGCAAAAAAAAAATTCAGAAAACTCGGTAAAGTGCAAAGGAATGATTACAGAGGAGAAGAAGAAATGTGTATGTAGTAACTTAGGATCCATAGTGACTGAGGAATCAGAGAGAAGATTTTCGAATTTTTGAATCAGAGAGAAGATTTTGTTTGTTTTGCGAGAGTGATTTTTATGGAGCTTGAGGGTGGGTGTGTGAGTTTTATAGCAAATTGAAAAATCTCCTTTTTGGATCCGACGGTGGAAATCTATTAGTCCCTAAAACAAACCCAATTTTGGAGAGGATTACGACACGTGGCGGCGATCCAGGTTTCAACCGGATTTCTTCTTCACCAGTTGCTAAATCATTGGTTTTTAGTGGGGTTATTTTGTGAAATCCCCAAACCTTGGGTTTTGTTTTTACAAAACAATCAATGTTTCGGAATCAGGGAAATCGATTTCTTTTTCTCCGGCGAAATCGCTAAGTACGGTCGCCGGGAAACGGAAGAAGAAGAGGAGCTTCTCGCCGGAATAGCTAAGTACGGTTCTTCTTCCATGGATTTCGTCGTTTATGAGGATTATCGGGATTTTTTTTGTCTTCCTCAGTGTTTTTAGTTGTTAACTCTCTTCTTCTTCTTGTGCAATTCCAAGGATCAATGGCGTAATGTGAAGATTAAGGAGAAATCAATCACGATTCTGCTTCTGATCTTAAAATCAATTTAAGATCCTCCGAACCAAAGCTTCTGATGTTTGCAGTAATTATGATGCATTGTTGAGAGCAGAAATGATGCATTATCGAGATCTTACTTCCAGTGAGTGGCATACACATCTTATCACTTTGCACCATTTTATATTTGCCAATTTGTCTTGCCGTAAATGAAGCTCAATAATTCTTTTCTTTAGATATGAGATGGGGATTGTGAAACCTGCATTTGTACTGGACACAATTCAAGTGTCTTGCCGTAAATGAAGCTCAATAATTCAAGGTTTGGGTTCAATCTCCAGGTTCTAGAAGAAAGACAAGATTCTAGTGTGTTTCATGCTTTGGTAGCACCAAGCCACCAAGTATATGGGTTGTTGTAAGGTGCCACCTATTATTCAGGCGCAGGTAGAAGTAAGTTAGTTCATGGATCATGTCTTGTCTTTGATTATTTGGCTATCTTCATTGTTAGCTTTATGGACAGATTGTTATTACTTGGAAAAACAGATGGGTTTGGTTAATGAAGCTGAGCATAAAAGTCTTTTTAGACGAGAAACAGATTCACCGCAAACAAAAGCAGCTTCCTTGATGTAGCAAGGAGAATCGCTTCCTGGAAGTTTCCGAGAAAGTAAAGCTAAATCACCTAAGAACAGTGTGCTACAGAGCTTCAAGATTGTGATTTTATCGAATAAACTCAATCTTTTGTTGCCTTTTGGTCCTCTTGCGATATTACTTCCACTATATAGAAAATGCCGAGCCAATCATTTGGCTTTCAATCTTGAAACTCCAGAAGATGATGAAGAACCTGAGATTTCCAAGTGGGAAGCTATCATTTGGCTTTCAATCTTGACGGCTTGGGTCTCTCTTCTTTCTGGCTATCTTGTTGATGCCATAGAGGTAAACTCACTACCAGTTGTTTCTTGATTTCATTTTTATGAATATCTTGACTCGTTTGGCTTATGGTCTTATGTTTCATGTTTTGTAACAGGGTGCTCCGGTCTCATGGAAGATACCAATCTCTTTTATCAGTGTCATCTTGCTTCCTATAGTTGGGAATGCAGCCGAGCATGCAGGTGCTATTATGTTCGCCATGAAAGAGGTACGTAGACAAGTCTCTTTTAACTTGTTCTTTTCTTTAGGTTCTAAACTTTTCATTTTCCTCTATAGGATCTATCTTTGGGAGTAGCTATTGGATCTTCAATCCAGATTTCCATGTTTGCGGTACGTATAAGAACTGTCAACTTGGGGTCTAGTACTCAAGATCATTCTCTTACAGATTTGGTCTCATAGTTTTGACTTTTGCTCGGTTGGATTTTTAGGTTCCTTTCTGCGTATAGTGATCGGATGGATGATGGGTGAACAAATGGGTCTAAATTTCCAGCTATTTGAGACAGCTACACTATTCATAACTGTTATAGTTGTAGCTTTCTTTCTCCAGGTGGGCTAACAAATCTTGAAGCTAAACACAAAAACTAACCAACCTCGAAGCCGTTTAAATGTCTCTCCGTGTTTGTTGTTGTTATGCAGGAAGGGACATCGAGCTACTTGAAATGATTAGTGCTCATTCTTTGTTATTTGATAGTCGCTGCTAGTTTCTTTGTGCACGAAGATCCTCATCAAGGTTAGTGTTGAATCCGCTACTTTCTTCCATTGTGATAACATTCAACAAGAAAACCTCTGTTGAAACTTGTGTGTTCTTGTTTCTTGATACAGATGATATATAATAAAGCAAGCCGAAGAACACATTCCGGTGCGTGAAGCAGTTTTATGTCCTTGAAACTATACAGCCTGATGATGATAATCTCAGGAACACACGAACTAATTATAAGTTTGAGATTTTGTGTACATTTGAGATTTTGAAGTTTGTTTCATAACTATTATAAGTTTTTTTTTTTTTTTTAATCCCCTTAAGTTGTGTTACTTTCGTTGGGGGCTCTTAATTACATGTACATTTTGAGATTTTAAGTTTGTTTCATAACAATTATAAATGCATATATGCTCAAGGATGCTCCAATAATTCATTTCCTAATCATCACACATATACCGGTAGCTGGGGAACGAATAATGATGATCCACGTAGACAACAATCACAAAAAAAAAAAGAGGAACCCTTATTAATACATTAATACTTCAATAATTTATATCCATCTTAAATTCTAGGAAACTAGCTTTAAGCTTTCTTCAATTTCTGGGAAACTAGCAAAATGTCAAGCACCAATCAACAAGCCATCGCAAATGCTCCGATTGCCACACAAATCATCCAAATGCACCGATGAATCCGAAACGACATAGACACAAATCAATTTCAAAAAGATGAAACAACACATACTGAATCAACGAATGAAGAAAGGCTAGAGAGGAACAAGAGATGGTGAAACCAACTTGGAATTCCAGTTTTCTTTGGTTTGGTTCAATGGTTTTGTGTTGGTATAAATCTTTAACCATACAAACCGATTGAAATTGATATATGTGGATATATAAGTTTAC